GTCAAGGCGACGCCTGGGTGACAAGGCGCCCTTGGAGTCTTGCCTCGCCTAATCGCCAAGCAGTTTTCTCTAGTCTGTTATAACAAACTTTTATATTCTTAATTTTTCGAGGTTATAATTATAAAAGACATTTTTAAACTAAAATACTCATTTTGTGTGTTTATATACTAATTTCTTTTATTATTTTCTTATTTGTTAGGGTTTAGTCAACACAAACATTGCTAAATGCTGTATTGTGTGAAGAAGCTCCTTGATGTACCATTTTATTGTAGTCCTTATTGTATTGTTTTCTTATTTATTATTATTTTCACTTCAACCTTGCAAGGGCCTCTTTGTAAATACTCTAAATTGTGTTGTCCTACAAGGGCCTCTCTGTAATTTCTGTAATTTCACTTTCTATATAAAGGACCCTTGGGGTAGGGTCGAATCATCCATTTCTTCATCCCCAAAATTCTGTATTTTGCTCTGGGTCTGTTGACATGGTATTAGAGTAGGCAGCTCTATAATCTCTACTCTTTCCTTGTTCACTCGTTGGGCATATTAGGGTTTTTGTTCTCAGGGTGTTTTTGGCTGGTGTTAGGGCTGTTCTCTTTAATCCTAACCCTTATTCCTCTTGAAAGCTTCTATTTGGAAGGATTTCTGACCGGCTATGTCACCTAGAACCTTCTTCTTTCTCTCAGAAAATCAGTAGAAACTGACAAGTCTTGGAGGAGTTCTGGTCTTCTCTCCTGGGTGGCTGCAGATTTGTTTTCTTCCTCCGAAAGTGTACTAATTTCTCCAAGGCTGCAGCAGCTTTTCTCCTTGTGGTTCAGTTTTGAACCCTCAACAGCAGCACTTTCGAACCTAGTTTCTTTTTCTGATTGAGGAATTTCAACAGACATCAGGTCCTCTCTTCTAGTTGATCTGGAAAACTTCTCATTTCAAGTTGGTGCATCATACTATTGCCATAATCGACTTTTATCAGTCCTTGGAACCCTAGTTTGTGCTGCCCTAATTTTGTGGTGTTTATTGGAGGATTTTTTTCTTCTCTTAAAGTTTCCTGTTGAAGTTGCCTTGGATTTGTTTGTATTTCATGCTTCAGCCCTCATTTTACTTTTTTGAAGAATATTGTGTTTAGCTGAAGTAATTTTCTGCCTTGTTCATTGCTGATTTGAGCACTTTTCCAACATTAGTACTGCTATTCCGGGTTGTTCTTTTTGCTCATTTATGATGGTTGAAAAGCTTGATTTTCTCCCTGTAAAATTTGATGGAACTAACTACAATATGTGGAAGTTCCATTTTGATTTCTATGTTGAGAGAAAGGAACTTGATGGTTACTTGGATGGGATTGTATGTAAACCTGATGAGGCTGAGGCTAATAGTAAAGCCTATACACAACGGAAGCTTGACAACGGAAAGTTAGTCTCCTGGATTTTGAGCTCCATTGTGCCTCACATTAGTGTTCCTATGAGAAGATTGAGGACTGCCTATGAGATGTATGTCTATTTGAAAAAGGTTTATCATCAGTCCAATATATCACGACAATACCGGATTGAATCTAAAATCTTTGCTTATTGCTAGGGGAACAAAAAGATACAAGAATAGTATTCAGGCTTTATTGATCTTTGGGCTGAATATGAACTGGTTCATACTAAACCTTCTGATCCTGTTGAATGTGTCAAGTATTTGCAAAAACATTTTGAAAATAGGAAAGTTAACCAATTTCTCATGAGGCTGAGACCTGAGTATGAAATAATCAAGTCAAATATTTTGAGTAGAGGAATTCTTCTAAACTTAGACTCTGTGATGGGAGAGTTGTTGAGGGAAGAAACTAGACTCCTAACTGTTGCAAACATAGAAGGGAAACATCCTAATTCAGGGATTGATACTGTTTTTCTTGCACGAGGGAATAAGAAATCTGGTGGAAAAGACCTTTCTAAAACTCAATGCTATGAATGTAAAGGATATGGACATATAGCTTCTCATTGCAAAAAGAAGAATGTTTGCACATATTGCAAACAACATGGGCATATCATTCCAGAATGCCCAATTCCTCCACCCAAGGGACCCATGAAGAAGAATCAACTATGAGCTTATCAGGCATCTGAGGGACGAGTGTTTGATACCCCTATTGCCAAGGGAGAATCCTCTACTTCCATGAATAAGGAAGAGATACAACAACTGGTATCCTTTGCCATCTCATCTGCCTTTTCTGTTATTGGCCTATCTAGTGAGTTTTCCAATTATTGCTCTTCTCTCTCTCACGTTTGAATAATTGATTCTGGTGCTACAAATCATATGACTGGGGCCTATCTTGAACCTTCAAACAGATTGTCTGAGACCAACCATAGACACATTGTCATTGCTAATGGTGAGAAACTTGACATAATTGGGAGTGATGACTTGTGTATCAAACTTTCCCCCTCAAAATTCCTTGTCCCTTGCTAAAACCTTCCTTGTTCCTAAACTTACTGCCAACCTTATTTCAGTTGGTCAATTAGTTGATGAAGGTCATATTCTAACATTTTCCTTTGATGGTTGTTTGATCCAAGACCAGTGCACTGGGAAGGTAAAAGGGAAGGGGCGTAGGATGGGCCACTTGTTTGCGTTGGAGTTTGAGAAATCTCCATCAGCATCATCCTCTGCTTTTTTGAGCTCTTCTACATTGAGTCCTGTTTTGAGTCAGAGAAACTATGTTTGGGATTTGTGGCATAAATGCTTGGGCCACCCAAATTCTAAAAAACTTAAATACTTATTTGAGTCTGGTTTTATTAAAACCAAAATTCCTTCCATGAAATCCATTGATACATCTTATGTTTCTTATTGTTTGAATAAGAGTTATATTTTATCGTTCACTCACCGAGCTGAACATGCTACTTCGCCTTTTGAAATTATTCATAGTGATGTTTGGACTTCTTCTGTTGTTTCTCGGATGGGATACAAGTATTTTGTGCTATTCATTGATGATTGTACCAGGTACACTTGAATCTACTTTCCCAAACACAAATCAGAAGTTTTTCCAACCTTTAGGTTGTTTCATAACATGGTTCGAGTTCGTTTCCAAGTGAATGTGCAAACCTTACGCTCAGACTTAGGGGGAGAATACAATGACGAAGAATTTTTGGCTTACTTGAAACATCATGGCATACAAGTCCAACGATGCTGCTCAGACACTCCTCAACAAAATGGTGTGGCAGAAAAAAAGAATGGCTGCATTCTCAGTGTTTTAAGGACTCTCCTACAAGAATCACATGCGCCTCCCACATTCTGGGTTAAGGCCGCTAGCATTGTAGTATATCTGATCAATTGTATCCCATCTTCTGTGCCTACTAACATTTCTCCTCATCAAAAGATGTTTGGATCCCCCCCAGATCTTTCCCATCTTCATGTCTTTGGGTGTTTATGCTTTGTTCATCTTCCTCCTCGTGAACGTTCAAAGCTTTCAGCTTAGTCTGTCATGTGCACTTTTGTGGGGTATAGCCTGAACCATAAGGGATTAATTTGTTATGATCCCTCAACACGTTGTATTCGTATTTCTCGAAATGTGATTTTTCTTGAGTATATCTCATTTTTTCAGGAATTGCCAAATTATCTGCACCCTCTGTTTCAATTTTGCATGATTTTGAACCACAAGATACTCCATCATCCACTGCCTACGACCCATCTTCTCTCGCAAGTGGGTTCATGGTCCAGCTCCTACACCTACGACCCCTCTTCCTCCTAGTCTGGATCCCTCGCCCATCATAGACAATCCTGTAAGTGATGCCCCGGTTTTAGATTCCTCAATTATTCCTCCTGTTCCTTTATGTCGTTTTGCTCGTATCTCTAGACCACCTGATCGCTATGGTCTTCCTTCAAACCATAGTTCATTCTCTTCTGTTTCGACCTCTACAGATATTCCCTGTTCTTACCAGCAGGTTAGTAGCATCCCTTAGTGGCAAGAAGTCGTGGATGCAAAGATTCATGCTTTGATGAGAATGACACCTAGGACCTTGTCCCAACACCTTCAGATGGCTCTATTATTGGAAGCAAATGGGTTTATTCCATCAAAATGAAATCTGATGGGTCTCTGAACCGTTACAAAGCCAGGCTTGTGGCACAAGGATATAAGCAGGAGTATGGCATTGACTATGAAGAGACTTTTGCTCCAGTAGCCAAGATTATTACAGTTCGTGTTCTTTTAGCCCTCTCTGTTGTTCACTCTTGGACGATCTTTCAACTGGATGTGAAAAATGCCTTTTTACATGGGCATCTAAAGGAAACAATATATATGAAACCTCCTCCAGGGTACTGTAGTGATCCCTCTCTCGTCTATCGACTAAAGAAGTCCCTCCCTCTATGGGCTCAAGCAACCCCCTCAAGCTTGGTTTGAAAATTTCAAAGATGTCGTGCAAGTCGGGTATAGCCAAAGTGCATCGAACTACTCTCTCTTTGTTCGGAAAATTTCCTGCTTAAAATTATTTTCCGGAAATTATGATATAATAATCTGATAATATTAACAAGTTATTCTTATGCAACTTGAGTAAGTTATATGGTGCTAAATGTGTGCTGGGGCTTGGGAAATTTGTATCATCTCTTTCAATTATATTGAAAGCCAAAAAATGGAAAAGGAGAATATGTCAAAATTTCATCCTTTTGGGCCCAACTACCGCCCAAGACTGTATCTTGATTGGTTAATTTACCACATGCAACAAAAGGGGAAGGTGATGAAATGAGTTAAAAATAATATCAGGGTTCATCATTGAGTTCTATAATCTACTTAACCAATTAAAAAACAGCAAAAGCTTAATGTTCACTTAAACCAAACCACTATATCACAATTACTTTCTTTCCTTTTTTTCCAACAAATATTTACATCCCTTTTCTCCTTTTTCTATTTATGCATATTTGATTCTTTTGGAGAGGATTTAAATTCTTTCTTATGCTACATATGCTAACCTAGCTTCATTTTAGAGTATTCTATGTCGGCTATATTCTTCCTTTTCACATTTCCCTTACACTTGAAAAGATTGTTGTTATAGGAAGCTTTGAAATCGTGTCTCCTGGTAAATGCTCCTTTGATCTACCGAGCTGCTTGTCAAGTTCCGTTCTCTGTTCTCAAGTATGCTATGACTCTTGATGGTGAGCTATATGAATCTGATAACTTCAATATTTATTTCCAATTTTACTACTTAGCTGGGAATATATTTTTTTAATGTATTTTTGGTAAAAGTTCATATTTTGGAAATATCCATAAATTTGGATAGGGTGTCAAATTCAGACCATTTCCTCAACCATGAGATATTTTATTATTGATGTCTGTTTTACTTGGTTGCTTTCAGGAAAAATTGCAGCAAGTAGTGGGCATGCATCATGGATTAGCAGCAAAGAATCTAGGAGTCGAGTATTTGAATTGCGTGGTAGAAGTAATGCTATCATTGTAGGAGGGAATACTGTGCGCCGTGATAGTATGTGTATTTTCCAACAGATGCACTTCTTTTTCATCAATTGGATGTATACTTACTACGTTGTTTGTGAGATCTCATGTGATTCTCATTTACTATTCATATTTTAGATCCACGACTAACTGCAAGGCATGGGGGTGGGCATTTGCCTATACGGATTGTTATGTCACAAACTCTTAATCTTCCTGAAGTAGCAAACCTTTGGGACACATCTGATGTACACACCATAGTTGCAACACAAAGAGGTGCAAAGAAGAGCTTTCAGAAATTGCTTGCATCTAAAGGTGTTGAAGTAGTGGAATTTGACATATTAAACCCTAGAGATGTCATGGAACATTGTTATGATCGAGGGTATCTTTCAATTTTGTGGGAATGTGGTGGATCCTTAGCAGCACCTGCTATATCATCTGGTGTCATACACAAGGTACTTTTCACTGGCTTTTCTTCTTTATGCATTTGGTATTTTGTAATCCTCTTTGACTATTAGGATGTGAGGGGTCTAAAGGAGATAGGAGAAGGGAAAAAATGAAATGAGTTGAAGTTGTTAGGAATTATTTGATGGTCCATAATTGAACAATGGATATGGCATCTAACAGTGGAATGACGAAAGAGGATTCATGTAGCCTACCCCTATAGTTGGGTTTCTTTCCTTGTTCTTTTTTTTTTTCCGATCAATAACAATAAGCTTTATTAATGAATAAGATTTGTGAAACTTTATTTACAAAAAGTGGGAGTAAACCATCTTAACTCCCCAACAACAAAAGGACAAAGAAAAAATCTAAAAATTAGCCAAAAACAGAGATTCCTTAACCACCCCTTGCTTAGCTAACCCATCAGCCATTGAGTTGGCACTTTTCTTCACCCAGCTGTATTTCACCTCCACATCCTTACTCAGCCATTTAAATTTTTTCTTTTCATTGTTGTAGCTCCACAAATCACTGTTGTCTCCTTTCAGCCACCTAATCACCACCTCCGAATCCCCTATAATAACTAAGCATATGATGTTTAATTCTCTTGCTCTTTGGATTCCTTCAACTGCTAGAATCTCAGCCCTAAGAGAGTCACCCTCTCCAATTGGGCCTGAGAACATGGCAATAATAATCCCATCCTCATTCCTGAACACACCCCCAATCCCAGAAGGCCCTGGATTCCTTAAGCTACTTCCATCAAAATTCAATTTTATGAATCCAGTGGGAGGGGGGGGACCAAGAGGGCCTAGAGGTCCTCTTACAATGGGCAGAGGTAGCTACCTCTTTCTACTTTCTCAATAAATCAGCCATGTTAAATTCAGAGAATAGCTCCATAGAATTCAGCCAGTGAGCTACCCTTAAGTGTATCAGTTCTAGTAAGTTTTCTGTGGTTCTTTCCTTGTCTGAAAATATTCGCGAGTTTCTCTCTTCCCATATTGACTAGCACATTGCCGCCCTAATGCTTCTCCACACAACCTTCCCTCTTTTCTTAGGCCATCTAAAGAACAAAGGAGAGAACAAGCTTTACACACTCACAGGGGGATTCCAAGTACACCCAAAAAGGGAGAACACCCACTCCCAAACAGTTTTAGTAACCGGACAAGTAACCATAATGTGGTAACTCGTTTCCCCATCAGCTTTGCAAAGATTACACCTATTGGGAATTTAACAATAATTGGGCCTCTTTCTCTGAAGCAAGTCATTTGTGTTAATTCTTTCTAGGAAAATTTCCCAACAAAAACTACCAGCCTAAAGAGGAATGGGTTTGTTCCAAATCTCTATAACAGGGAAGGACAACCCAAGAGGAATAGTAGGCTGAACTAAAGTCTCAAAAAACGAAGTGGTACTCCAACCTTGTAGGGAACTTTCCTTCAAAGGAGGTGTGGGTAGCCCTGTACCCCCTAAAATTCAGGCCTTTTGTTGGGAAGTGGTAYTCCAAAAAATCAACACCTTGGATTTATTGTAGAAAAAGAGGCCAAATATGTGCCTCTCCCCTCATGTTTGTTGCCTCTGTTTGGGTTCTGGTGAGACAATTTCACATTTACTAATCTCATGTCCCTTTGTGTTCTTTTTTTGGTCTTGGTTCTCTTCTCTCTTTGGCTGCAGGTGGACCCCCTCCTCAAGCGTGGTGAACCTCTTTGATCCAACTTTTTACAGGCAACCAACGGTTCTTGGAAGGATTATGTGGAGAGCCACTAGAGCTGTTGTATTGTGGTCAGTGTGGGAGGAAAGAAACAATAGGATCTTTAAAGGAAGATGTAGATCCAAGGAAGAGGTTGTGGAAGAAATAACTACTAAGGTTATCCATTGGTTGAAATCCCGTGATCTTTTTAAGGATTTCTCAGTTGAAGACATTTATAGAAGTTGGGGTATTGTGGCATCTACTACTACTTCCAAAGCTATGATACAGGAAGTTTGGTCCCCACCGGCACAACAAAGGGTGAAACTGAACTTTGATGGAAGCTCTATAGGTAATCCAGGCCCATCTGGTATAGGAGGTGTTTTCAGTGATAATGAAGGCAAGATAATGGCTTTGTTTTCAGGTCCAATAGGAGTTGGAGATTCCTTAAGAGCGGAAATCTTAGCACTACATCAAGGTGTAAAACTGGCCAAACAGTTRGGGCTATAGTAGATTGAGATAGAGGAAGACTTCAAGTTGGTAATTGGGTGGATGCAATCAGGGCAGTTGGGAGTTTGGCAATATGGACAGCTGATAAGGGAAATTCTTAGCATAACAAGGGAGGTGGGTGTTTGGTTCAAGTGGGTAAGGAGATCAGCAAATGGTTTTGCTGATGCCCTAGCAAAACAAGGGACTGTAAGGGAGAGTTTTTTTGGGCAGTGTTGTAATGTTTGTTTGATGTTTATTGGATCAACCTTTTCTAATAAGGGTTGAATTCTGTGTTTCAGGTTAGACTCTGGTGTCTCCCTTACTAGGATTCAAGAAAACATTTTCAAGGATGGCTAGCAGAGATGAAATACATCCCAAATATGCATCCCTAATTGCCCTTCTTGGGCCCGGGTTCCACCCAAAACCAGAAGAAGAATCAGAAGGAACTAAGAAAGAGGAGATGGGTTCATTTTTCAAACCTGACAAAGCATACAAAGAGGGAAATTGGTCTCTCAGGGGTATGTCCCCAACCCAAAGTTGCTCCTAAAATTTTATTCGATTACTAGAGTTCAAACCATACCCGATCCAAGGGGAGAAAATTGGAAGCAAATCAAGAATGGATTTCCAAGGGGAAGCAGCTGTAGCCCTTGTCAAAATTCCTGGATCCCAGTCGTTCTCATCCAGCCCATGTATGTTAGCCACTATCTTCGTCCACAATTTGTCCCTTTCTAGTGGAAACCTCCACAACCATTTCCCCAATAACGCCATGTTTCTTTTCCTAACATTCCCAATCCCAAGCCCCCTGACTTCTTGCTCCTAGTTACCACCTCCCAACTCATCCTATGGTCTTTCTTCTCCACTCTTGGTTCCCATAAAAAATCCCTCATTAATTTTTCCACCTTGTTAGAGACCTTTGTGAAAGTCTTAAACATTGAAGTAAACGAGAAGATTAGCTAGGGTAGACCTAATCAAAGTGATTCTCCCCCTAAAGAGAGATGATTTTTCCTCCAAGAAGCAAGCCTTTTCTCAAATCTCTCTAATATCAGGTTCCAAAAGCTTTCATTCCTGGGGTTATCTCCTAGGGGGAGGCCCAAGTAAGTGATAGGCCAATCCGAGATTACACAACCTAACAAACCTGCACTTTCACTTACTTCCCTCTCCTCCAAATTCACTCCCACCAAGAAACTCTTATCAAAGTTCACTTTAAGATTAGACATCTGCTCAAAGAGTTGTATTGTCAATTTTAAATTCTCGATCCAATTTAGGTCCCCACCTTCATAGAACAGGATTGTGTCATCTACAAACTGCAAGTGTGTAAGTGGTACTTCCCCCCTTCCAACTCTCCATCTTAGGCTTTTCGAGTTAGCTCTATGGATTAGTCTCCCCAAGGCATCTGCAATCAGAGTGAATAGAAAGGGGGATAGCGGATCTCCTTGTCTTATTCCGCTATCCCCCTTTTCTATTCACTCCTTGTCTTATTCTGCTATCCCCCTTTCTTTCCTTGTTCTTATTTGTATGTCTCATAATGACGCGATGTACTTTACAAAGTTCTCAACTTGAGACTAGAATCGTATTGGTTACAATTCTTGATGGAGACATGGAATTAAGGTGTTCCAACAAAAATAATACTGAACATGCCACTAACCTGATTTTGAAAATTTTATAAATTTGTCAAGTGAAATTTGCTATAGGTGTCTTACCAAGAGTTCAGTGCCCTAAAACATGTATTATTTGTAACTTTTGAAAACCTAGTTATGGTTATACATTTGAAAATTGATTTTTTTTATGCAGGTTTATGCATTTGTTGCTCCTAAAATTATTGGGGGTGAGGGAGCTCCATCGCCAGTTGGCGAACTTGGAATGGTTGAGATGTCACAGGCACTAAAGTTGATAGATGTTTCTTATGAGAAGGTTGGTTGACTTGAATTCCGGTAACTCCATATATGTACCATATATGTACTTCAAACAATATAATTTACCACTTATACAATAGATGCCTAAGATGATAAATCAAGTTTGACTTGAAAATCAAACAAATTTACATAAAATGGCTCTTTAGCCTACATATGATGGAAAATAAACTCAATTTCTAGTCATAAATAATGTATATAAACCATTTTCTAGTAAGGGCTATAAAAAAGTCTCCCTTGGAAAAACTAAATATAAACAAAAATTAACAAATTAGAGAACTAATTCGTAGTTGAATTTATTTGAATCATAGTGAATTGTAGAAGTCATAAGATTTATGAATCAAATCGTGGGATTCAAACAAAAATTGTAAGATTTTTGCAGAAAAGGATTCAGACATAAGATTCGAGTCGAAAGCATTGGGATTCATGATTCAAATCGTGAATCGTATCATAAATCGTAAGATTTTGACAACATTGGGTTCTGTTGTTTGTTGGGCAAATTGAGTCAGTTTAAGGGTGTTAGGTGTGAGGTAATTGGGTTTTTTGAGGGGTTTGTGGGAGGCTTTTTGTCTTTGTTGAAGGTTTAGTTTGGAGCTTGGAATTATATTTCAAATGTTCGTAGGATGGTGTTGAGCACTTGAGCTTTTTTTTTGTCTGGGTGAAAACTTATCACCTCTTTAATAAAGTTTCTTTTTGTTTATTACGCTGTCAAGGCAACGCCTAGGTGACAAGGCACCCTTGGAGGCTCTTCTTGCCTAATCGCCAAGCAGCTTGCTAACTTACCCATCTTTTTCCTGTCGGTGTTTAAAATCCCAGTGAAGATTGCTAACAGATTAGAGAAGCTAATGAGAGATTTCCTGTGGGAGCCGGGAGAGGAGAAGACGGATCATAGAGTTAGCTGGGAGATAGTGTGTAGGAGTAAGTCTTGTGGTGGTTTGGGGCTTGGGAGTATTAGGAGAAGGAATATGACTCTGTTGGGGAAGTGGTTGTGGAGGTTCCCTATGAAGAAGGAGAAGCTATGGGCTAGAATAGTGGCAAGTATACATG